TTGTCAACATGAGTCACAGGATATCAGAGCCACCAAATAATGAATTAATTTGAAATTAATAGAAATATACAGAGACAAAAAATCACTGTCTAATATTTGTGTGGATAGACTTTTTAGTCAGATAGAAATCTCCTTCACAAACTCTATCACCATGACCTCCTTCAAATGTCTTTTACTCAAACAGGCCCTGGACTTTGCCTAAAAGAACCATCTTTGACCTCAATATCTACCAGACAAATGTTTGATGAGAAAAAAGCTAAATTGATTGAGATGGAATCTATTATCTAACTACTTCATTAAGCACCTTTATTTCAATAATCTTCAGTTTGCTCATCTGTAAAATGAGACCAATGGGTTCACACAATCTCTTAAGTTTCCTTCTGAAAATGAAAACTGAAAAATGAAAACAAAAGAATTCTGTGGTTATGTTTTTATAGTGTATTACATTTTGAACTAGGGCAGCAGTAAGTCTATCATGGTCTCAGATGCTAAAAACAAAGTAATCTTCATTTCTTTATACAACTCATAATGTTAAAATATGATACAGACTTTCTATTTGGGACAAAATGAAAATTAAAGACTTCCCTTTTAAAACACTGAAGAATTAACAACTAGTAATTTGTTAGTTACTTTATATTTCTCGCCAAAGACAAGGATTTTCATGAATATATGTAGCTTTTAATCTAAAAACTATAAATCAAGTGTTGTAAAATAGATAATGTCTTGTCTTTTGGATTACATAATCTCAATAATATATGCCTTGGAATAAAACATTAAAAATTCAGAATCTAAATTATGAAACTTCAAAGAGCTCCTTTCCAGAGAAAACTGATTTTAAAGAAACTGAACAAAACTAATAATAGTATAATATCTAATAATACATATTACAAGTAATATTTTAAGATGATACTTTAAAATTATTTTTTATTGAGATGTAGTCGACATATAACATTGTATTGGTTTTAGGTGTACAAAATAATGATTTGATATCTGTATACATTGCAAAATGAATACCTTAGTAGTTTAGTTAACATCCTTACTACACATACATTCAAATTTTTTTTCTTGTATGGGAAATTTTAAGATCTGCTCTCTTAGCATCTTACAAATATACCATTCAGTACTGTTAATTATAGTCACCATGCTGTACACTACTTCCCTAGGATTTCTTTATCTTATAAATCGAAGTTTGTACCTTTATACCACCTTCACCCATTTCTCCCACCCACAACCCTCATACCTCTGGCAAACACAATCTGTTCTCTGTATCTCTGAGTTTGGTTTCTTTCAGATTCCACATATGAGATCATACAGTATTCACTTTCTCTATCTAGCTTAGTTCACTTAGCATAATGCCCTCAAGGTTCATCCATGTGGTTGAAAATGATAGCATTTCCCACTTTTTATGGCTGAATAATATTTCAGTGTGTATGTACCACATTTTCTTTATTCATCTTTCTGTCAGTAGAAACAGGTTGTTTTCAGTTTTGACTATTTTGTAAATATGCTGCAGTGAACATGGGATTGCATATACTTTTTTGAGACATTGATTTTGTTTTTTATGGAAAAATACCCAGAATTGGAATTGCTGGATCATATAGTAGTTCTTTTTTTTTAATTGACGTATAATTGACATATGAAATTATATTGATTTTTAAAACGTTTTTTTGCGGAATTTCCATACTGTTTTCCATGTTGGCTGCACCAGTTTACACTCCCTCCAACAGTGCTCAAGGGTTCTCTTTTCTCCACATCTTCACCAGCACTTATTAGCTCTTCTCTTTTTGATAAGTTTTTAACCAGTATGAGGTGATATCTCATTGCGATTTTGATTTTATCTCTCTGATCCTTAGTAATGATGAGCACCTTTTCATGTATCCATTGGCCATTTGTATGATTTTTGTTTTGGAGAACATCTTTTGAGATCCTGTGCCCATTTTTAATCATTTTTTAATTGAGTTTTATAAATTCTTTATATATTTTAGATGTTAATCCCTTATCAGATTTATGATTGGCAAATATTTTCTCCCATTCATAGGGTGACTTTTCATTTTGTTGATGGTTTTCTTTGCTGGACAGAAGCTCTTTAGTTTAATGTAGTCCTACTTGTTTGTTTTTGTTTTAATTTTCTGTTGTTTGTGACTTATACAAAAAAATCATTGCCTAGAACAATATCAAGGAGGTTACCTCCTCTATTTTCTTTTTCTTTTTTTCCATCTATTTTCTTCCATGAGTTCTGTATTTCAGGTCTTACATTCAAATCTTTATTCCATTTTGAGTTCTTTTTGATGTGTAAGGTGGTGATCCAGTTTTATTCTTTTGCATGTGTAAATCCAGTTTTTCCAACACCATTTATTGAAGAGATTGTCTTTTTCCCATTGTGTGTTATTGGTTCCTTTGTCATAAAATTTTTTTAACATTTTTTTTTATTGAGTTATAGTCAGTTTACTCTTTGTCATAAATTAATTGACTGATACATGTAGGTTTATTTCTGGGTTCTCCACTCTATTCCATTGGTCTGTATGTTTGTTTTATGCCAATACTCTACGGTTTTGATTAATATAGCTTTGTAATATGGCTGGAAATCAGGAAGCATAATTAATACAGATTTGTTCTTTCTCAGGATTGCTTTAGCTTTTCTGGGGTTTTATGGTTCCATAAAAATTTAGGATTGTTTTTTTCTCTTTTAATGGAAAATGCCACTCAAGATTGCTTTAGCTTTTCTGGGGTTTTATGGTTCCCAAAATTTAGGATTTTCTTTTTGTCTTTCAACAAAAAATGCCATTGAGGTTTTGATAGGGTTTGAATTGAATCTGTAGATTGCTTTTGTGTGGTGTGGACATTTAAATAATATTTCTTATTCCAATCAATGAAGACAGAATGTCTTTCCATTTATTTGTGTCTCCTTCAGTGTCTTTTTATCAATGTAATATAATTTTCAGAGCGTAGTTTTTCCCTCTTCCTTGTTAAATTTTTTCCAGATATTTTCTTTTAGATACAATTGTAAATGGGATTGTTTTGTTTGTTTCTCTTTCTGGTAGCTGCTGTTAGCATAGAGGAAGGGAACCAATTTTTGTATATTGATTTTGTATCCTGCACCTTTTCTGTACTTGTGTATTAGTCCCATCAGTTTACTGGTAGAGTTTTTAAGATTTTCTATATAATAACATTTAATTTGAAAATAGAGACAGCTTATTTCTTCCTTCCAATTTGGATGCCTTTTATTTCTTCTTCTTTCTTAATTGCTCTGGCTTGGACTTCAGTTCTGTGTTGAATAAAAGTGGCAAGAGCTGGCATCCTTGCCTTGTTCTTGAATTTAGAGGAAAAGTTTTCAGTTTTTCATAACTGAGTATGACATTAGCTGTAGACTTATCACATAGGGCCTTTTATGTTGAGATATGTTCTCTCTATACCCAGTTTGTTGAGAGTTTAGTATTATGAGTGGATATTGAATTCCGTCAGATGCTTTTTTGCATTTAATAAGATGATCATATGATTGTTATCTTTCATTTTGTTAATATAATGTATCACCTGGATTGATCTGCGTATATTTAATCAGGTATATTGGCCTGTAATTTTCTTTTCTGATAGCATCCTTTTTTGATTTGGCATCAGAGTAATTCTGGTCTCTTAAAATGAGCTTAAAAGTGTTCCCTCCTCTAATCTTTTTTGAGAGACTTTCACATATTGGGTATTGTCTAAAATGTTTGATAGAATTCACCAGTGAAGCCATCTGGTTCTGGGCTATTGTTTGTTGAGGGCTTTTTAATCACTGATTCAGTCTCCTTACTTGTAATTAATGTGCTCAGATTTTCTATTTGTTCATGATGAATTCTGAGAAGGTTGTATGTTTGTAGGAATTTACCTATTTCTTT